CCCAGTGTCCTTAAGGACTGAGGAAGGATCATTTTGGCACCTGAGGAGGGGAGTTCAAATGACGCCTCCATGCCCTCTCGCTTGGGCCAAAATTTTGAAAGGTCTCAATTCTGCCTTCTTCCTGTTCTACTTCTCTCATGGTACAGCTCTGCTACCTACCCCATGCTCTTCATTTAGAGCAGAGAGAATACATATGTACCAGCAGCAGACACAATTTTCTACACTCTGGGTCCTAGTGGGCCCCCCCCCCCACAGTCTAGCACCTGAGGCAGCCACCTCAGTTCGCCTCATGGTAAGGTCAGCCCTGGGAAGGATCAAAGATCTAAATTAGTAACAGTTTAATTTAAAAATTTCAAGTAGCTCATATTTCAGGAGAGATTGTACATTGCTAAAGTAAATGTAATTTGCTTTCATTTGCCTGTGGATGTGTGTGTGAAAGAGAAACAGATAATTTTAGACATGGTAAGTGATTCTCATAGATATAATTTAAAAGTAGAATCCAACTCATGATGTGGTTGGTACCCAATTTGACTGCATGTCTGGTTAATCCAATTAAATGTTCTACAGAGTTTACATGTTTTATCACTACTTAAGGATATTCAGTGGGATTTGATCTTTCATTGCCTTCATGAAATCAGAACAGAGGAACTGTTTCAATAGACCTGTTATTTGCAATGAGAGCCCTTCTTGACAAAAGGTGTATTTTACAGTAACTGTATATTGATACTTATCTTAATATGTTTGTTGTACCATATAATTTCTTGATCTGCCTACACATAAGGGACCATTCTTTTTAAAATGTTCTCAAATTAACATCAGCGGGAATCCGGCACATGCATCAGAAGTTAGATTTCTGAACTTGATTCACTTGGATTGAGTATAGAATAGATTTCAACATGGATTTTAACCAAGTAAAGGCTGCAGGAGTTAGCTGTTTTTTTATTGTGCTCATATTTTCCATGCATGTAAGCAGACACGGTCCCAGACCAGGGAAGCTTACAATGTCAGGCCCCTTCAAATAACAAACATCAGGAGTCGCCTTATGGAAGTCAGGTCCTAAATTAGACCATGATCAACAAAAGTGTCAGACCACAGTTGAAGGTAGGGAATAGAGAATAGTGCTTTTGTGGGAGTGGTTTTATGAATGTTTTACCTATTATTTTACATTTATAAGATACTAGATTGCCATACTGTTTACAAAGCTTCTATCGACAAAGAGTGTCTAGACTACATCCCGTTCCGCAGACAAAGCAAGCCGCTTTGTTGACATGACAGCGTAGACGCAAAGGATGGTGTAGATGCAATAACGCCTTCTGTTGACAGAACTCTGTCGACAAAAGGCGTTATTCCTCGTAAAATGAGGTTTACAGCCATCAACAAAACTGCTGAGTTCTGTCGACGTTATGTCGACAGAACTCAGCGGCAGTGTAGATGCAGGTATAGTTTTGTCAACAAAAGTCCACTTTTGTCGACAAAACCCTGTAGTCTAGACACACCCTAGGTGTGGATTAGTGGTAGAAAATTAGCTTTAAGTTCACAATGAAATATATGTATACATCAACACTGCACAGTAAGCCAGAACTTGAGCATCCATACTACATTGTAAACCTAGGTTTACAATTGCTGGACTTGGGTCTCATAGCAGTGGCAATGCATCCATGCTTGACTCTGCGGACCCTTTGGTCTCAGTACCCTCTGCAAAATGACAGGGCTTGTGCCAGAGTCAAAATGAGACTTGGACTGTGTCTCATCCCTCTAACAGAGTTCTAGGTCTTGCTTGCTTGCTGACCCAAGTCAGACTGATTTGTGTGTGGATGGCTTAGGTGTGGTGTGCAGATATGTCCTAAAAAAGAAATAAGATGCAATTATACCTAATGCTTTGCTTTCCCTTTCTAAGGTAAAAAATAAACTCACAGTTGACAGAGATTTAGCATTTTATTTTATGTCAGTTTTGCATCTTAATCAGAAACACAACAGACTCATACCAATTTTCATTTGTAATAATATCCTAAATAAATTGATATTTTAACTAATTATACTCACTCAATTGTAATAATATCCTAAATAAATTGATACTTTAACTTATTATACTCACTGATAATATGTTTAATTAGGTTTAATAAAAACTTAATATGCATCATTTCAGGGGTGGGAAAGTGGGTTGATCCGGCCTGCGGAAGCCTTGCCACTCCCCCGCCCCCAGGCCAATTAGGGCCTACCAATTAGGGCGAATGGCTCCTGGCAAGGTGGGAGGAGACTTCACACTCTGCCCCGCCTACAAGCCCTGATTGGCCTGGGGGTGGGGAGGAGTGCACAAAGTTTCCTCTGCCTTGCTCCCACCCTGTGAGGAGCACGTGGCACTTAGAAACTCCAAGTGCTCCTGGTAGGGAGGGAGGAGGCTTCGCCCACTCCTCTGCCTCTGGCAAAAAATTATTGCCCACCCCTGATCTATTTACTAAACTGTTGGCTTTGAAGATGTATTACATTAATAATCAATTGTTTACTAAATTAACAAGAGCAGGAATTTTCATGTTGCTTCCAGGGAAATACACTTACTTGTACTAATTAAATGCAGAGATAGGTCCCACCCAAATCCAAAGAGCTCAACACCCTCCATGTCTAGATTAATTTCACAGATGTCCTTTCTCTGCAGCTGAGCTAGTCAAAATCTTCCTAAATGTGTTCAGGCTGATCACTTTAGCCAAAGTGCAAATGCAGTAAACATGTCAGGAAATCACCAAATGCTGCAAGAATCAAATAATTGTGTACCCATCTACAAGATGCACAGTTACCCACTTTGAACATATCAGTGTCCACAGGCAAGACATTGCAGGTGAAATTGGGGCACATCCACTTTTGTTGGCACACACAAAACTGAAGCTTTATTTTCCTCCAGTCCTTTTTGAGACTCTTCATTTAAAGTGCATACAAATCAGGTTTAGTGCATACAAATCAGGTTTAGTGATCAGGTAAAGTTCATATTAGAACATGTGCTGTATATTTGAAAGCCAGCTTCTTTCCTTTTTTTAATTTACTGTGTTACCCATTAAATCATTGTACCGATGTTTGATATTGAACACGTGCATGAACACATGCGTATGATGCCTAAGGGTACTCTCTCACAGCACTTGATACTCAGTTCTTCTTCTCAGTTTACTTCTCAAAAGGGCCCCAATGAGAACCAAAACAATTCCTGACAAGAGCAAAGTGGCAACAACAAATGGGCTGTGAACATCATCTTTTTCCAGGAGAACTCCATTGTGCAAGTCTGTAAATGACAGAGAGAGTTTATCTGACTTAATCTTACACTTTTTGCTAGTATAGAAAATATGCAGGACCTGCTAGAGTGATAGAGCATAAAAAATACTGTTGCAATATATAGGTAAAAATTTCATTGCCATTAAGAAGCATAATAATCAGACCAAAAGTGTCATACTGATCAATTTAGTTTTGAAAGCAAATGAAAAGTATACAAATTGTTGAACATCTGTTATAGTAAAATAGCATAAGCAAATACAGTTTGTTAAAGATGCCTAATAGATAACTCTGGAGTTTAATATCTTATGTTTAGGTGCAACACAAAAGACAGCAATGACAACATCTCACACTGCTTTGTCAGTGTGTCTCAAATATGACCTGGAAGACCATCAATGTGCTTCAGGAATAAAAGGGTAGCTTAATCTATGCTCATTTACACAGTGCTATCTATCACAAAAGTTCCAATTCTTGATGGTGTTTTTAACGAGTGTTGATGGTGTTTTAATTACCCAGACTGATGCCACCAATTTATTTTACACAGTCCTTTTTATATTTATAATAATGATAACCTCTGTTGTTAGTTGCATTACAATAATGCCTAAAGTTCCATTTAGGACTGGATTCTTGTTATGCGATACACTATAAAAAAACTAGGATGATAAGGCCTGCAACCCCAAAAGCTAATACTCTAGTATGAAATAAGATGTAACAAGTGAATAACAAGGAGAAGAAACAAGAGAATGAGAGATCAGTGTAAAAACAATGCAAACTGCAGTTAAATGAGTAAGCTATGAGCACAACTTGGTGTTTTTAAATAATTTGAATGTAACTTTATCAATAAATATTAGCAAGGTTAGCCGGCATTAATTGGCTATAGGGTTTTTTAATTGTCAAAACAGAAGTGGATCTTGTAGGTCGATTTGAAGAAGGAAAAAAGTATAGCTTTCAGATTTGTTCAGAGAAGGCACATCATCAGTGAGTAATCATTTTAGGACATAAATTGACAAAAGGATGGAGATTTTGTGTGTGTCTGAATAACTGGCTTGCAAAATTTGTGGCAGTAAATTTCAGAATACTTTTATAATTAACTCCTTGTGGCCTTCAAATTGCATTCACAAGGAAAAAGGCTTGTCCCTTAGCACAATCCTGTTTAGAATTTGTGATAAGGAAGCAATCAAAGACTGACATACAAAAAAATGATATTTAAATAATATTGCAAAGTTATGCTTAACAGATACATCAAGAAAAAAAAACCATGCAAATAAATTACCAGATTTTCTGTCCTCATTGATATCTTTTTTATGTTGGATTGGTCCCACAACCACATCTATTTTCTCCTGATAAGGATTTATATCCCTCTTGCGCCTTGCTAAACATCCCTGGTAGCATCGAGAAGAATAATCATATGCCCTACATACAACTATCATGCACTGCAAGTAAACAGCAGCATGGCTGTTGAGAAACTTGAAGGCATTGAATTTGAAACGAACAATGTATCCCACTGGTGAATAGTAGGAGCTGTAGGTAGAATCTCTTACACATCTGTAACAAAAAAAACAAAAACAAAAACAAAACAAATAGGAAATGCTCCTCTAACACACCCAGGAATCTGAGTAAATGTCTCTGCTTTACTGCTGCAATGTAAGCAATACAAAGCAGAAAGAAAGAAGCATGTATAACTTTAATTATAACTAAAAGTTCTTACCCATTCCTGATTAAATCATAAGTTAGGTCTGTGAAGTCATCAGAATATGGAGAAGCCAGGCATGTGTCCATAAATATCACCAGATTTAAATCGGAACTGTAAAGAGTGGCTTGCAGGTATAAATCCTGGTTTAGGTCAACATAATATGGGGAATTGTTAACTGGATTTGAAAAATTAGATGATTCATAAAATGAAATATTCACATCATAACTGCCTTGCTGGGTTTCCCTTATGTCAATGTGACCTTTGGCAGCATATGTTATTTCTACCGTTGTGTCTTGGTTCATTTCACAGGTCACATGAAACTGAAAGTCATTTTCCCTTGTGATAATGTAACCAGAAGGAGAAGTGCTGATTACATTAGAATAGGAGATGGTGTTATTTTTTACCTGTGAAAATAGGAGAGAATAAAATGTGATTCAGGAATATATTTTGTCAAAATGTTACAGTTGTAATAGTTGTTTATGTAAAAAAGACACTGTCAATTTGCAACTTAAAAACTATCTATTTTTTAAAATTAGTTTTCCAAAGAAAATAATATAAATAGTATATATATATACTTCTAATTACTTCAAATATTAGAAACAAATTGCGCTTTTATATTCCTGTTTCTAGTCTTTTCAGAAAGGGTGAAACTGACCACTATGCAAGGGAACATTGATTATACACAAAATTCTGCCAAATGCAGAATGCAAACAAGTTGAAAAAATAGATGTGTAATTCTCTTTTGCGTAATTTTAGGTGTCACTTGTAATATATTATGTATATATTTTTCCAACAGTATTTTCAAATTTATGTTACACCTTTAATTTGGTTCTGACATAATCACAGCCCACTGAAAAGTTTAATTCTCATTAAAATGCACACTTTAGTCCATTGATTGGACTCTCTTGCTAAAGCAGCAATGCTTCTCCCTTGCTCAATTCCTCCTATGATACAGGAAAATGGGGCATTTATACTTTTTCCTTAATATTTATTTTGTGGTTTGGCATCCCACCCCTTTTGATCACCCTCATGCTTCCCAGAAGGGTTTAATGCTCTGGAGTACATGTAGTTTTTTGCTAGAAGAGCCAGAGCCATATTTAAAACAAGGTACAGGGCTCCCAGAGATAGCATAAAATCTGTCCCCTGAGGACCCTTTTGTAAATTTATTGATTTTTTTTCTATCTATTTATATTATTAGAGGATAGTTGATAGTGTATGAAGTTAGTTAGGAGGGGTCAGGATTTACTGCCGAGGTGTCCTCACAGGTCTCTGGCTCCATCGATGATGGTTACCAGAAGGCTGCTTGCTTGTATGCTCAATGATGTGTGTCGTGTTGACTTGTGCACTTAGTCTCCACAGCAGACCCCAAAGAGGTTGACTTGTGCACTTCGTCTCCACAGCAGACCCCAGAGAGCTCGAAAGACCACAAATCAGATAAGGATTGAAGATGCCTGGCCAGGTTTATTGTTAAGCAAAGTATAGTAATAGTTGTCAGTAGACTCTACTGAACCAATACTTGTATACAATTCGTAACAATGAAATGACTCAATCAATGGAGAATTTTTATTGCCCCCAGGTCATCCAAAGACTATTCCCCCGACAATGAAATGACTCAATCAATGGAGAATTTTTATTGCCCGCAGGTCATCCAAAGACTATCCCCCCGAGACACCACTTTATATACAGGTACTAACAACTTACACATTACTGCTGTTGTGTCAGGTTACCACCTTCTGGCGTTTCTTAGATACCACCCATCATCCTGTACCTTGTGGTTTGATTAGATCATCTCTATCCATCATGCTGTCATTTTAGACTCTTTCCTGAACCTGGGTCTGTATCTGTGGGGAGTGTGTACTATGATTTGAAAGTCAGTTCTGGACCTGGATTTCATTCACTCCAAAGTCTATGGTAGTTCAGATAGAGGGGCTTTGTTCAGTCCATTACAAAAAGAGCCTATTCACAAAGTGTGGGTTTATTTTCAGCACCCAAATTATAGGGATTTTTGTTCAAGCCGCTCTCTGATTTAATAGGACAGTGGTTCTCAAACTTTTTGGCCCACAGCCAACCCTCACTTAACACAGACCTTTCTGTGGGCCACCAGCCAACTAGCCATGATGACAAAATGGGTGCAGGAGAGGGTGAGGAGGCAAGTTCTGGCCAAGAGGTAGAGAACAGGAGTGGGATGAAAGTGGGGGTCTGGGAGGAAGGGCGCATGCATGAATGCAGTGGAGTGTGGGGGAGCATTGCCTAGAGGGGGCATGGAAAGGTGATGGGGTGCAAGGTCTGGGCATGAGGGAAGCACTAACCTGACTCTGTGTGCCACCCCCTTTACCTGACTCCCAGGTGCCACCCCCTACTTCCATTGACTAGAATTCCAGCTAATGGAAGCAGCAGAGAAAGCCTCTAAGCAAGCAATTTTCTGTGCTGCCATTCCCCCAGCTGGGAGGAGGCAAAGCAACAGCACATGGAGCCACTTTCTTACCCCACAGTCTGGATCCAACCCACAAGACTTCCTCCCCTCCCAGCAGCAGGAAGCCAGTGCTGGCAGTCAGTCCTCACAGTGGGGCATGGCTGGAGCATCAGAACAGGCTCCAAACTGCAGGGGTGGAGTAAGTCCTTATTTTAAGAGGAATAAGGGATCTTTCGGAAAAGGCTTTATTTTCCGAAAGATCCCTGTCTAGACTGGCGCTTTTTTCTGGCAAAGCTCCGAGCCGGAAAAAAGTGGCAGCCATGTTTATGCAAATGAAGCGGGGGGATTTAAATCCCCGCTTCATTTGCAATTGCGATGTGTCTAATTTGCATCCCTTTTATGGAAAAGGGATGCAGTCTAGACACAGCCTGTATATATAGCATGAATAAGAGCATGAAAACAGGCTGTGCAATGAACCAAGTAGCCAAGGGCACACCCTATGACTCTACCTGAAGGAGTTTTTCCAGATATCACTGACCTGAGCAACATTCACAAGTGTGACCAAGAGGTCAAAGGCTCTCCAGCCTGCTACCAACATCTTGAATCATCAATGACAAATATGAAGTGACAGTGTTCTGTGTTAATTGTATTTTTTTCCCTCAGGACATTTTTTCTAAAGCCAGGGCTGCTAATTGTCAGTCAGGCAGATAGACAAATTTATGCACCACAAACATATTAATTGACTCAAACATAGGATGGACACTTTTTACAAAAAAATATTCTGAATCTAAATTTTGGCCTTTTAAAGCAATTGATTTGATAGATCTTTTGTCTAAAGCTACTTAAAGTGACTTATGAATGAAAAGCACATCTCTCACCTGTCTTATTGTACCACATCCATTAAAAGGTATGTTAAATGCAACATAATTTTCTGTGATCTCGTGTGGCTCACAGGATGAATTGTTCAGATAAACATCCCAAGCATTGTAGCCCAGAGACTGAAGATAGGTTCTGTTAATGACTGCACGCATGTATTGTCCAGAACATGACACTGCTAAATAATGAGAAAGAAGGAAAGGTAAATATTAATTTTCTGACATGTATCCAAACATTACTATAACTAAAAATTGACTAGTTTCTGATTTAAAAACTCTGGGTACGCTCAGAAGCTACCAGAGAAATTGGTCCAATAAAAATATTACCTTACCTTCTCTCTCTAACATGATGAACCCAACATTGTAACAACACTGCATGGTATCAAATTTTGCCTGACTCAATGCCCATTAAATAAATGGGGGTACGTCTACACTACAGCGCTAGTTCGAACTAAGCGCTCCGCTAGTTCGATTCAAATTCGAACTAGCGGAGCGCTTAGTTCGAACTAGGTAAACCTCATTTTACGAGGACTAACGCCTAGTTCGAACTAGCAAAACGCTAGTTCGAACTAAGCGCTCCGCTAGTTCGATTCAAATTCGAACTAGCGGAGCGCTTAGTTCGAACTAGGTAAACCTCATTTTACGAGGACTAACGCCTAGTTCGAACTAGCAAAACGCTAGTTCGAACTAAGCGCTCCGCTAGTTCGATTCAAATTCGAACTAGCGGAGCGCTTAGTTCGAACTAGGTAAACCTCATTTTACGAGGACTAACGCCTAGTTCGAACTAGCAAAACGCTAGTTCGAACTAAGCGCTCCGCTAGTTCGATTCAAATTCGAACTAGCGGAGCGCTTAGTTCGAACTAGGTAAACCTCATTTTACGAGGACTAACGCCTAGTTCGAACTAGCAAAACGCTAGTTCGAACTAAGCGCTCCGCTAGTTCGATTCAAATTCGAACTAGCGGAGCGCTTAGTTCGAACTAGGTAAACCTCATTTTACGAGGACTAACGCCTAGTTCGAACTAGGGTGGTAGTGTAGACATACCCTGGGAGTCTTTCCACTGATTTCACTGGATTGATTAAGCCCTTACTGTTACCCTACTAATATGTACATTTAAAGCGGGCTTACCTGTAGCATTGTTATTTTCTGGAAATGAATCATAGTAAGCATTGAATCCATTTCTTATCGAACTAAAGTTACTTGAAAACAGAACAGTCATTGTATTTGAAGATGATGTAAATGTATAATTTGAACCACCACAAAGCCTTCCAAGTAGAGGAGATGTACTCTGAGGACCATCATAGACTTCAACAAAGTCATAAACACAATTATATGAATCTTCTAGACTGTGGAGATGAAATTATCATGTGTTAATCTGTAAATACCACAGTTAGACAATAACGGGTTGTAAGGTGAGTGAAATGGGGTTGGAGCCAATTTAGTCCCATTACTTCAGAAGGAATCTAACTAAACTCATATATAATAGTGTAAACACTAAAGGTATGTCTACACTACCACCCTAGTTCGAACTAGGGTGGTAGTGTAGACATACCCTAACACCTTTGTTTTTAAGACAAGTGAATATCAAAGTTTGGGCTAGCAAATGATTTGGTGAACTAATGCAAATCTATATTCAAATTCGCCTCTCAGATCTGCCACTGAGATCTCTGTTGCATATTCCAGAAAGGTTCTGTACAGGATGATATGCAACGAACACAGTGAGATCTGGAGAGGAAGGTTTGACATAAGTCAAAGGGATTTGTATGCATGCTTTTTTCTTTTAAAAATATGCCTTTAAAATTAACTGTATTGTTTGTTGGATTGAGAACCACAGAGCCCAAAGACTTCTTTATTGTCTCTGTTCTGTAAACAATAAGCAGTAGACAATTAAGCTTGTTCACAAGGGCTATGTCTAGACTGGCATGATTTTCCGGAAATGCTTTTGACGGAAAAGTTTTCCGTTAAAAGCATTTTCGGAACAGAGCGTCTAGATTGGCACAGACGCTTTTCCTCAAAAGCGCTTTTGCGGAAAAGCGTCCGTGCCAATCTAGAAGCGCTTTTCCGCAAAAAGCCCCAATCGCCATTTTTGTGATCAGGGCTTTTTTGCGGAAAACAAATCTGAGCTGTCTACACTGGCCCTTTTGCGCAAAAATTGACATGAGATCATCAGTGCTTTTGCAGAAATTCAAGCGGCCAGTATAGACAGCTGGCAAGTTTTTCTGGAAAAGCGGCTGATTTTCCGGAAAAACTGGACAGTCTAGATGCAGCCAAGCTGTTGCTTTGTTATATAGGGCTGACATTTTCTGAATGAAACCTCTCCTTCACATAGATCAAGTCTGAATTCAATCAAGAATCATGTCATATAAGTGCTATAGTACCTTACATTTATGTATTCTTCCAAATATACCTGCACAATTTATAGGATGATACAATGAACACAGCATATTAGCTGAGGTAAAGATAGTAAAAACAGTGAATCTGTGCTTGGCTAATGTGAAAAAAAGATTTTTTTCTAGTTCTGTTTTTATAGAAAACAAAACTGTGCTTCCCCCTGCCATGCGAGCTATTCCAACCCTTTGATGACTCCCAAAGATCTCCCCTCCAGCTCTCTTCAACATTAAATATTCATGCCAAATAGAAGTCTGTCCAGCCAGGGAAAGTAGACTAGCAGTCCCCCTTTAGTGTTGCTCCAGAAATGAGATATATGGCCTGCTGACAAAGGCTCAGAACTGGAAAGCTATTTAAGCACTTGCTTAATTTTTAAGCGCCCGAGTAGTCCCATAACACAATGCTATTTAAGCACTTGCTTAATTTTTAAGCGCCCAAGTAGTCCCATAACACGAGTGCTTAAATGCTTTGCTAGATAGGATCCAGAGAGAGAGAGAAGTTGCTTCTGTAGCATTTCCCTTGCCAGCTATCAAAGGAGCAAATGGATCAAATACGATATTTGCATGGCAGTAAGAATGGTCAACTACTAGATTGCCAGATCAGACCTTCTAAGTATTTGATCAGAGACTTTTAAAATGAAATAATACAAAATTCATAAGAAACATAAGTCATAACTCAAAATGAAATAGCTTGAAGAGGTCAGAAAGATTATAAGACTTTTCTATGCAAGATCAAAATATTTTTTAAAAAGCCAAACAAATCTGGAAAAGGAAAATCATCATTTCATATCAAATACTCTGATGTCAAAACTGCTGTTCAATACTTAATATTTTACTTACTTGAGGTGCGTAAAGGTGAGTCGGATATAATAATTGTTCTTTACTTCTATATGCCAGACACACTGTACATTCTCTGGAGAGTTCCAGACAAAGAATGGGCTAGAGAATGATCCAGAAGGTGTAAAAAAGTAGCCACCACACCAGCCATTTGTTGCTAAGAGGAACAAAATACAGTGTATTTTAGAATTCCTTTTGGATTTATTACCTGTGAAAATATTTTATCTATTTATCCAGAAGAGGCTTCACTGGAGCTGAAGGGGGAAGAGAAAAAGGTGGCTAGACATGCTCTGGCAATATTTGAAGAAGCCTAAAGGCTGCTAAAAACTTCCATTAGGTTTTAATAACCCTCTAGGAGCCATTATAGAGGAGACAAGGTCAGAAATGAGACATATGGCGTGTCCTCAGAGGCCCAGAACTGGAAAGCTTTTTAAGCACCAGCGTAGTCCCATAACACTATATACATAAATACTTTGTTTGGCAGTATCCAGAGAGAGAAAGGTTGTCTCTCTTGCGTTTCCAGCACCAGCTATCAAAGGAGCAAATGAACCAAATAAGATTCTCAAAACCAATTAACAAAATGAACCAAATAAGATTCTGGCTTGTCTCCTCTAATGTCCCCCATCACACCCTCTTTTCTATCTACTGCATCAGAGCCACAAGTGTTATGGTGGTTTCATGTTAGCCAGGCGTTATGGCATCCAGGAAATCCCTAGCTGCCTCCTTCAGGGCAGCTTGCTTGCAGCATAGCACTATGCAAGTTACACCACACACCCAAAAGGAGGGACAAGGTTTTGGACCATACATCAACTCTGCACTCCCAAACATCAGTTTCTGCATGATCACAGGAATACTTAAAATAAATCTGATTATGCACCACAACTCCATATAAATGAGAATGTACTTTGTACAAGCAAGTTTTCCCATCAATAATTTCAGTCACTCAGAGCAGATATCAACCAAAGGTTGCGTGCTAAAAGTACAGAAAGTAAAAGGTAAATACACAAGAAGGTTCAGGAAAGTTTGGTTTAAGATAATGTATCTAATCTGGCTCTACTTCTCTTTATTAAAGTGACATCAAATGTGTTCATAACTCCTTCCTCACTGACCTCTAGCACCCTCCTTAAGCCTTCACATATAGTAACCCTCTCCCCAACGTTGTTGTTATTTCCCCTACTGGTTTCTCGTCCCCTTTTAAGCATCTCTTGTACAGTCCATTTGTCTCACTGCTTGGCCCCAGATGATTCCATTTTGTATTTAATGAGCTTAAGCCCATAGTTCAGTCTGAGGCACATCAGCCTCCAGAGCTTGTTATAATTAACACAGTGGAAGTAACCTGGCGCCTTCTAGAAGCAGAGCTGAATGCCACAGGGGATGTTAAAATGCAGGTCAGTAGAGTAGTCATGTAAAACCATCCCTGAAAAGGAAGATCTCACCTAGGAGTCTCGTCTGTTGGAGAGATGGGATAGGCAATTGGAGGTGGCTCAAAAGATTCTGACACACAATTAAAATTTGGATGCTTAACACAGAATTCAGAAAAAAGACACTAGTGCCAGTAAGGGACCTGACTTACAATTTTCATGAGTTGGTAAAGTACTTGGAGGATCTGGGTTGACAAAACGAGAAAGAAGCAAAATTAGCAACCATCTTTGTTAAGTAAAACTGTAAACTATTATTTTGCCATAGTATATGAACATGATGACCAAGCCCAAACCAAAGCTAATTTGAATCCAGATACAACCTCTGCTCTATCTCTTCCCCACCCTAGTTTATATAAACTAGCAATTTGGTATATCATCAGCTCTTTCCTTCATTATAAGTGGAAAAATTTAGAATTTCCATCTGTGATTCCAAAAGTAAAATAACCCCCCACAAACACTAGCCACAAGTAGCCACTCTTTTACAAGACAGCCCTTAATGGTCTTACTATGATTGCAAGCCAAATACAGATGTAGTTCCAGGCCAGAGTACTATCGTATTTAAATTAACCTCAGTCTCAGAATGCAAGGGGCATGAAAGCACAAGAACATAGCATTTTCTCTCCACCTCTTTCTCATTCAAAAATTTCTTACTTGTTTCCAAGACTGCTTCTGAGGCCAAATGAAAGGGTGGGTGTGGATAATTATTTCCTAAATAGAGACTTGGGAGGCATGAGAAATGGCAGGAAATTGGAAATAAATTACTGATTTGAGATTCACTCTTGCACTCACCAGAAAAAAAGAAATATGGTGTGGATTTACTGAGCTATAGCCTCCTTTTCATGCACACATATTCAAAGGGAAATAACGATAGGGAGAAGATAAATCTCTAAGGCAAAACTGAAAGCTGCCCTCAATTTACAAAAAAGGAAAAAGCATGAACAAAGAGGTAATCATGAAATGCCAGGAGCATCTACATTATTGCATAGTTACAGTACATAATTTTACATATGTAAAAAGAAAAATATTTTACCTGATGTCCTTGATGGAGAAGTAGAAAGCTCTTAAATGTAAAAAGTAAACAGTAAAATTTGATACAATCTTTGGTATTAGCATGAACTATACTATACTTAAGAACATTTTATGAAACTTCTGCTATACAGTGGTGTATAAACAAAGTATGGTTTTAGAGTTGAGCCAATAAGAAAAAATAAACACTTATTGAGAAAAAATGGACAACAATGCTAACTTTAAGGTAATCTGACTAAGAAGATGACACAGGGGAGAAATAGGTTCTGACACAGCTAGAAAGTAGAGCTAGAACTGAAAAGGAAAGTCATACTATCCCCATTCAGTTGATTTACTCCCCAACATTTGGCCTACATATAAGTCACCACAGAATTTTATAATTATGACCCTCCTCCCCATGATACTATAGAAATGTAACTGGGTCTTCAGAAATGATTGTGAAAACATACAGAATTAAACAGATGATGCAGTTCTTCCT